GGCGCCGGCGCAGACCCCCGCCCCGCGCCTCGCGGGGTTCACGCGGGGACGAGCACGAAGCGCCCGCACGAGTGCAACCGCGGCCGGCAGCGGTTCTGCCGTGCTAGCTTGCTGACGGAGAAGTGGCTGCGTCGCTTCGTTAAACGGCTGTGTTCAGGGGCAAGTACACTGAAATCTGCCGAACCGAGAATCAAAAAATAAGACAGAATCGAAATACCTGTGGTTTCTTGCCTAAAAGGAAGGAATGATTAAATTCTACTGTTCGTTTTAATGTTTAATGCCAACATCCTACTGTTTATAGAACAGGAAGACAGATTTTTATACATTTTTTTTTATTCCTGTTACACTTTCCACTTGTAATTTCATACCAGTGTGCTGAAATCAAACTGTGTCTGAAGACCGATTTTATTCCAGAAATACCACTTTCCCCCTGTCTTTTTTTCTTGTAGCAGGATCTTTGATGACCACAAAGCATTCACAGCCACAGTCTACGTTTGGGAGAAGTCTGACCTCCACAAGTACAAATACTCCCTATTTTAAAGCAGCAGGTACAGCATCATGTTGTTTCTTTTGGTTTTCTTCTGTGGGCCTTTTTCCTCAGTGTCTTGAGTTTAGTAGTAAAGTTCTTGAATTTACTTTTTTAGAAACCTGTACGCGTTTTCACAGTGGTAAAAGATATTCTAGTGTAATGCATTATGAATTACTCTTCAATGACCTTAACAACTAATTTGGATTATATAATTAGAAAATTGGTCTATATAAGATCTTACAACTAGAAAATGACTGATTAAGCTGCCGTTGTGGTTCACGTGTTTTACACCCTCTGAGGATGGTGGAAGTTCTTGAAAGACTCCAGCATTCTGCAAGAACTTGTTACTGCTCCCTATCCAACATAAATACAGGGGTTTTAGCTAAGGGATGCAGCAGGATTGGCTGAAGCACTGTTCCTGCTAGTAATTTCAGAGGTGATTCTGGACACATAGAGCCAGCAAATGGCTGAGCTAGTTGCAAACGATTAGACCTGAACTAAAAGTAGGTTACATGTGTCAGCCTGCTGCTGTCCCTAAACTGATTACTTCTGCTGAGAAATACTGGCTGCGGCGGCACTAATCCGTGCTAAGCTCTGCTCCAGTGCTGCACCGAGTTGTGTTGCTGTCCTGCACAGAACGCCTGGGGGATCCTTGCAGGGTGCCCCGCTGTGTTGTGTAGCTCACTTGACTGACGCGGTGGGTCCCATGACACAAACCGGTAACGCCCTTCACTGTGTGATAAGGAAAGTCCATTATACAGCGGCAGTGTACACACCCAGGAGTGTATATACGTGTATAAAAGCAAATGTGTGTGTATATATATATATACACACACACTTTAGACTGTATAGCTTTTTAAATTTGCTTTCTTAATTTTATTTACGTATTTCATCTTTCAGAAAGTACAGAAATTCCGCCTTACATAACTAAATGTCCTAGCAATGGGCTTTGCAGTAGATTGCCGCCAGACTGTATGACGTGTAACACGAACTATTCCTGTATATATGGGAAGCTGGCCACTTTTGATTGCAAAGTCAAGCCACACGTTCATTGTGTTGTAAGTAACCTGTTACTTTTAACCCCCCATTTTAAGTAGTATAATTAAACTGTGGCATCTTGTCATAAAGTGTAAAACACTGATTTTCAGGTTCTTAGGCAGGCAGGTTTGTAGATCTGTGGTACATTTAATCATTCAGCTGTAGGCCGTTGCTGAAGAGGCAGACCTGCTCTTCTCTGGTTTGCCTTCCTTGCATTGGATCTCTTATTACGCAGCCATGCAGCTGAGTTAAATCAGTTTATTGGCCAATCAAAATTGAACCATTTTGAGAGTGGGGAGGCTCAGTGTCTGTCAGAGCTACAAACTGACCTTACAGGTGAGACTGAAAGAGTCCTCCTTTTGGCAGTAGCCTTAGGTTGGAGGAAGGAGTAATGTTAAACTGCACTCCAATAACTCTGTCGGTTTTCTGATGTTGGTTTTTCTATTTTACTTGACTACGTAGGGGCAGCAAAGAGGGTAATTGTTATTTTGCCCAAAGCGCCGATCCATGAAATGTAATTTGATACTGCACACTGTGACTTTTTGTTATTACCGGTGAAGTGATAACGCTGTCCTTTTGCAGGATCAGAATAACCACAAGCAGGAGAACTTCACCATTAACATGACATGCCAGTTTTGCTGGCAGCTTGCAACAACTGATTATGTATGTACGAATTCTACAAACTGCATGACAGTCTCTTGCCCGCGACAACGATACAATGCCACTTGTACAGTGCGGGATCATATTCATTGTCTAGGTAAGGTGGGATGGACCAGATTCTGTAAAGAAGCTTTTTTTCTAAAAAATTTCTTAACATTTTTTGTAGTGGGTCAATACAGTGATTGTTTATGTCCATCGCAGCAACAGCCTGCGCCTTGATTAATTTGTTGAGGGTTTTTATAGTTACATTTTAATTTTTAAGCATAATAGTGACATATAACTGTAAGCATTGGCTTTTAGTGCTGTCGTATACCTTCACGTGAGAGAAAATAGTTCTGTTTTATTTTTGTCAGTTTCTATTAATTAAACTAATTTGGACACCACTGATAGAATCAGTATCAAATGTCTCGGTGGGATAATTAAAAAAATTCATGCTGGTTTCACCTAAGTAGCTTAATTTTCCCCTTATTCGCTCAGTGACCTTGCATGTTTTCCGATGTGGGACAAATATTGCTGGCACAGAGGGCTGTGGAGTATAGACGCGCTTTTGTGTTGACAGTGTTTGTTTCCATTAGTGTCAACCCTTTGAGACTCTTGTCAGAGAAGTACAGTATCTTCTTGCTTGTTATTTTCTCACTCATTAGGTGGTCTTTGTTCCTTATGCTAAGGGTTGAATGTTTTCTCACGTTTAGGTAATCGTGTCTTTCCTAAGATGCTCTATTGCAACTGGACTGGAGGTTATAAGTGGTCAACCGCCTTGGCGCTAAGGTACCCAGAACTATTAGATAACAACACGCTAAAATAGATAATACTGTTAGAAGTAGACTCATTGTCTATAAAATCTTCGTTTTGTGTGGGTTTCTGCTTGCTGTTTTTTAATGGTGTGCTTGAATAACCAATGTTTCATGCAGTCTAGCTTAGCATTGGGTGGCATAGCATGCCTGAAGATTTCATGTGCAACGATACTGTCTTCAGTAAATAGAGCTTGAGAGAAAATCTTTATCCTATTTCTGCATCAAATGTACTTTCTTCAGAGTAAATGCCAATGACTCTCAGGCATCACGAAGTGATCCATTTTCTGAGTAGAGAGGACATCTTGCTTTTATTCTGTATCATGTCAGATGAGGTCCAAATGCTCAAAAAAAACCTGCAGACTCATGTTTTTCTCTCCCAGTTTTTTATATGTTTTAAACAATTAGGACTGAAATTTGTCCAAATTACTACTTGGCATCTGAAATGAATGTGGCTGTTTCCGAATGTGATGGGTGCCACTGAGCTGGCTGCAGCGGGTATACATTTGTTACGGCTTCCTTCCCAACTGTAATAGCTGGAAATGCCTTGAGGCGAAGTTACTTGCATTTTAAATTATTAGGGAAGAGACCAGTGTAGCAGTCTTGAAAGAAACTATTTAGGTTATTTTTTTTTAATATTAAGCTATTGGAGCACCACAATAGTGATTTGGAAGTCACTGAAGTTCTTTTGGTGGTCAGACCTTTTTCATTACATTTTAATACTTCAGAAGTGGTTAATGTGATAAATCAGGTAGTAAGACTCTCTATTCCCGGAGCCAAAGATAGAGTGAGACTCTGATGAAGAAAGCGATCCGCGCACAACACGCTTTCCTTCATGGCAAGAGCTGTTGTCTGCCACCAGCTGGAGAAACTTACTGTTGCCTGCCTGCTGTGTGGGGCTGAATACAGCGTTCCTGTCTGTTTCTGTACCTTGCTTCTTGGGTTTTGTGGTTTGTTTGTTTTTTTTTTTAGTTTCTGGTAGTTTAGAAAAGTAAAAATATATTTATAAATTTGAGAGGTTTGGGTTTTATTGCTTGTAGTGAACAAAAAACTGTCAAGTCTCTGGGTAGTATTAATTAGCTAAGAAATAGTGCTACTTCATCAAAAGCTTTCTCATTTTATGTAACTCGGTCGTCTCTTTTTGTACAAAACATGTGTAGTTCCTTGGGTGATGTGGCGCCAAACTATCATCTTGTAGGTATGTCAGAAAGAAGCGCGTACGGGTGCCCAAACTGAGTTAATCTAAAACCAGTAACGAATCGTGTTTCCATTCTTACAGCATCACCCTCGGTGGATTTGGTGCCGATCGTTTCTATTTGGGCCAGTGGCGGGAAGGTCTGGGAAAACTCTTCAGCTTTGGTGGGCTTGGAATATGGACACTAATTGATGTGCTGCTAATCGGCGTTGGCTATGTGGGACCTGCAGATGGTTCTCTTTATATTTAAATGTGGGAGCAACATGTTTCAGAGAGGAGAAATTGTTTGGAAAGGGCTCTAAATAAAAGAATACAGAGATCTGAGCCTTTAAGGTAGAAGGAAGAATGACTGTTCTTTTTCTGTGCATATGTTTTAATGTACAGTATCTGTACTTAGTTTGCCTTTAACTAAGGTAAGGTAAGAGTAGATCACTGAGTAAGTTGAAATTCATTTTCTTTCTTCTATGGACATGCTATTTTTCTATGGAAAAAGTTGAACAGCTAACCAGATTCTGCACTGTGCTTGAACTTGGATGATCTGTCAAGCACCAAACGGGATGCAAACTAACTTGAGTATTGAGTTGTTTACTTCGTATTTGTATGCTTGAATTTAACTTCAGAGCTAACTTCCCTAAATATGTCAGTAATATATTCTTTTTTTTCACTTATGTGGGGATAATTTATTTGCCTGAATTACTCCAGCAGTATGTAGATTGCCATGTTTTATGATGTTAATTACATTCATCTGTTTTGGGGTATAGCAAGAGCTAACATTTGCTTAGTGACTTGTTGGTTTAGGATCGTGGGGGGTTTAGGATTAGATTGCAGTAACACTAAAAGCTAAATGTGAAATAATTGAAATAGATTTTAGGGTTGTTCCAGAATGACTGTATTTTGGTTGGGTGTGACCTGCGTATCGGTGAAAAGCCCAGCTCGTATTCTTGCGCTAGCAAGCTTGCCGAGTTAATTGAAGAGGAGGGTTGGCAGTGCGGTCGCTGCGTTTATCCGCTGAGGGCTTGCTGGCCAGGTAACGCAGCAAACGGGCGTGCCGCGACGGACAGGGGCTTCCTTGGGGTCACGTCCGTGCCCGGGGGCGCGGCGACCGCTGGGAGTGAGCCGTGGCTCGTGTAGTGCCGGGGTGCCGTGAGCCGGAAGGCCGGATCACTTGAATAAACTTGAACTTGAAGCTCTGTGGAATTCAATGTTAATCGTGGAGAGCGTCACCTCGCCGGCG